TTTTGTTTTGTTCTGGTTTTTCAGCTTCTAAATCACTCCATTCTGCACTGCTAACCTGTTCCTTCAATTGATTACCTTAGAAATCAAGAAATATCTCATGTCTTCTGACAATATGACTTCTAAAACTGTTTCAATAGTTCTCTAATGAAGAATGCCAAGAACCTTCTTAACTTGTTCTCATTGCCGTAATATTCGAAGAAAACCATTTAGGCACTGATCAAAAAATCAGAAACGATTAGGCACCGCACACCGCTACCTCCTCGCTAGTCATGCATCAAAAATTTAATTTGAAACATTCACAAAATCAATTAACAGTGAAATTACAATGTGTTCAATGTGTCGTCTTTCCTCAGTCTAAAAAATCAGTCTTAATTCGAAATTTTGAGGTGACTAATCAATGGATGACTGGAATGGGTGAACGGAAATGGCAGTGTCGCAATAAAAATCTCTATTGGTCGATAAAACATTTACTTGTCATCTTATGATGATAATTATCACACCTTTCAAGGGTGGCATGTCAAATAAAAAGAAAAATAAAGTCACGTCATGCCTGCCTTCCTTGTATAAGCATTTAACGATGTGAAAGGTAAACTTGAAGACGTTGTGAAGTTATCACTACATCTGAGAATGACGCCCATTCCAGCCTATTTACTCATCACGATTAAAATACCAAACTTTTGATGAAACAATCATCCGAATGGTATCACAAGATTAAATTCATCATACTGTGGTGGAATAATGAAANTGAAACAATCATCCGAATGGTATCACAAGATTAAATTCATCATACTGTGGTGGAATAATGAAACTCATTGGTTGGTGATAATGAAATTTGATGAGTATATTACATTAAAGGAACTTAGATTATAATGCAATGAAGCAAAGCTCTAATTCAGAAGTGATATTCACTCGATTTAACAATAAAAACGGAATGAAAATGCTTTGCAGACAACATTATTTAGTTTTTTCTTGATTGCATGCTTGCAAACTTGATCCGATCTGTGATCTATTGAATGATCTGTAGTCATGCTTTTTTTTTTGCTCAAACATTTGGAAAATGAGTCTCCTGAATATCTATAATCCGAGATTATTGAAGTAACCAAGGGAATCGGAGACAAATGAGCAGGTTAAAGTGAAACTCCAAAAATTATTTGCGTTTTCGAATGATCGTTCAAAATTCAAACCGTCATATAAAATGCTTACGATTATCATTGCTCATCGTTTACACAATGGATAAACAATTTGCACAGTTTTATCACAATTTTTATCATCTCTAAATGTTGAGTATTGTTTCATCGAAATTTGAATCACGTGAAATTTGTTCAACACAACCAATACACCCAAAGTACAAAAATATGATTGCCAATATTTATTTTTGTAAAAAAGAAAAGAGTACTTATCACTTAGAAACAATTAGTACAAGGCATGATAAAATTTCCGTCATCACACGTAATTCCACTTAATTATGAACATATTTAAGTATCTCAAATTGCTCAACTCAGCATCTTAATTGTCCCAACGAATCACTTTTCGTCATTCGATCGTAATCAGCGTAATCAGCGTTTGCT